CAGCCAGAATTTAAGCGTTTGCGCTTTTCGTTTTTTATTCAGTTTTATACATATATTACATCGCATAGGACTTTCTCGTCTTGATTGGGTCTTGCAGCAACGCCCAGGCAGCGCTATTGCCAACTCAGCGACTACTTATAATATTTGGGGTATAGTAGGCACACACAGTAAGAATTTCTGCATTCTCAGGTCAAACATATTTTATGGATGAGTTAATTTTTAAACTTTTCGCCGCAGTGTTTTTTCTAAGTGGAAAAGAAGTTAGAATAAATCTTTGTGTAAGCAAAATATTTAATTCGGGCATATGCGAGTATAACACACTTTCAGGAGGAATATTTCTGTAGTGCATTTTAACCCATCGACGAACAAAGTAGAGGTGAAACTTTTGTAATTCAATATAAAATTACTTTTCTTCTATTTTTATTCGAATCAGCGCTGGAAAATTAAGTTTTCGAACTGTACCCAATTTGAGCGTAAAATGTACCTAAACAATTAACACGTAATACTTACGTGCATATATAACTATAAATATTAGGGTGCTTTGCCAAAAAAAAGTTGCGTTCTTTCCACCGCAATTATCAAGTTTTTTTATATTGTAAGACTCAATATTTCGGTATAATATTAAGATTCACGCGATATAGGCCGGTTTGGAGATAATACCTCCAAAAATGTCATTATGTGCCCTAATGTTTATGTTTGTATATAGGCACTTTCACTGTCAATCGCACTAAAGCCGTTTAATAGTAGGAAGAAAACATGCACCTACGACGCTATTGACACTTGTGGGATCCACACTTTACTCATATGTCTATGCAGAATGATGTTGAATAAATCTGCACAGAATATTCTCCAGAGTTTCATGTTGGTTTCCGTTTCCAAAAGTTTAGAAAATAAGTACCCAGCAAAGACGAGGAGGAATCTCACCACATCAGTCCTGTGCTTCACCAACAAATTTTGCGCTATTTCCTTAATCCAATGTGGAAGCAAGAATACCATAGGTTAGGTTAGGAAAGGTTAGGAGGGCGTGTGTGAAATATTCCATACTTTCACTCGGCGACGGAATAGTCCATTGTGAGTGCCCTCTTTAAGTGAGAGTCAGGAGGATTCACGTACCTATAATCGAGAGACTAGCTTCAAGTTATTATGCTACTGAACCAATTACTATCCCTAATGAAACCGAGAAGATCGAACAGTTCCATCTCCGCTATCTCGCCCAAACTGTTGAAGAAGCGTGAACCCAAGTGTTTGAGACGCTTCGACTGTAGACCTGAACATCGACACAGAAAGTAGTCAATTGGCTCTTTCTCATCCTCGTCATGGCAGCTTCTGCAGAGAGTACTTGTTGGTATTCGCCACCGTTGAAACATTTGTGCTATAGCACAGTGTCCTCTGATGATGCCGTAAAGGATTCTTGCCGCAGATCTATTGTGTTTCAGTATGTTCCTCGTCTTTTTTCTACTAAGGCGCTGCCATAATAATCTTGTGATCTCACAGTATTCCCGTTTGTCCCACACAAGTTATTAGTCGCGGCCACAGCGTATTCATCAATTTGTCTAATGTGATCACTAAACGGTAGCTATCCGCTTCTTGTATTGGCATATCTGACCCGCAACTAGCCATTTCATCAGTCGACTCATTCCCCTCGACTCATTGCTACGTCCGGGGACATTGATACGCCTCAGTGACGCCAGCGGGGTGTGACATTTACAAACAACTTTCGATTCCACTATTTTAGATCCTATTGCATTCAGTGATGCATGACTGTCGACAAAAATAGTGGCTTTATCTTCTGGAACTCTACTACTAGCCACCCTCTCTATAGAGTAGATCTCCGCTTGGAAGACACTGTAGTCGTTCGGTAGACAAAAGGACCAGTTTATCTGCAGGTCCGTCTAGTAGACACCGGCTCGCTCTGGTTCGATGTTCCAGCATCTTTGAACCATCATTTTAGATGGATATACCCCTCTGCTACTTGCAATCCTGCATCCCATTCTTCTATGGTCGGGAACCTAATGGGTTTTCAAACAGACGTAAAGTAATCAGTGCTGGCTTCTAGGTCAGTGATAGTCCCCATTGCTTTCCGAAGGTCCTATTGCACATGTAGTATGCTGCTGGAGATTTATTAACGCTCTTCTTTAAATCCTTTTTCCAATTCAACTTGGAGTCCAGAATGATTCCGAGGTATTTTGCCTCGGAGGAGAGTTTCAAAGTACTTTCCCCTCATTTCGGTAGATGAAATATGGGTACTCTTGTTTTCCTTGTAAACAACACTAATTCTGTTTGGAAAGGGTTAACCTCAAATCCATTCTGGTTGCCACATTTAGAGATATCACCTAGTGCACTCTCCATTAGGTAACTTATAGCTGAATTTGCCACTGTTGAGTATAGCTGAATGCCGTGCTCAGATAGTGACTTGCTTATCGCCTCCGTTCGGACATTACTGAAGGCCGCTTTCACATCCAGAAAGGCGGTAGGGGATTCCTTAAGATCTAGCGTTTTTTCAATAGTGAAAAAACTTCGACCACAGGAGCAGCGGATGTTTTATATGTACTTACATATGCACAATCAGCCTTTAAAGTTTTACACCTCACGTAAGGATTTTCATTGGTTTTGCGCCTGCATGCTCGTACATGTGTGTAAATAACCCTTAGTAGAAACTACATACTTAGGTCCGATATTGGGCCAAAAAACTTTTGGATATTGTAATCAATATTCACATCAGCACAGATACATAACTACTATTTAATTACAATAATAAATAATTTTAATTATGTAAATATACTTGTATAATAACACACAATTATATTGTTAAATCAGAACTGCAGATACAACAACTATACAAGGAAAAAATTCGCTGTTAATTTTGTCAAAAAGTTATTATTACTATTAAAATTAAAAAAAAAAAATAAGTAAGAAGCTTTGCAAAATCAACAAAGATATTTAAATTCGCGATTCGGAAAAAATCACACTCATGAGAAATACAAAGAGAATATACACATGCACACGAATGGTTATACAATATACATACATACATACATACATACGTACATATATACTACTATATAGTAAATGCATATTTATAATTTAAAAAATTGACTCATCATTGAAAGAAAAAAAGTTATTCAAAATCTCGTGGCATGCAAATTTGTAAAAACAAACAAAACAAAATTACCGCAAAAAGGTTCAACAGAAAAAGTAATATAAACAAGCGAATTTGTAAAATAATAAGTAACCAACAATATTTAGTATAAATTTACCAAACAAGAAGAGATTATAAAGAATATACATATGTACATATGTATGTACATATGTTTCGAAACGAAATTGGTTTTCTTTATAAACTCACACATACATATGTAGATGCATTCGTTTGTAGGTATTTTTATTTGAATCTCCTTTATAAAATCAAAAATACTTAACTACAACAACTTACTGAAAAAGTGGAATTCGCGTTTCCTTTTCAATTTCATACCAAATGCTAATTATTTCGATCAGAGAGCAACCGAAACACCACAAAAGTCAATGAAGCAAAATAAGAATAATCGCCCCAAAATGAACATTGATGCATGTATAATGAGATTTTGATGGAAAGTTGGTAGTTTAGAAGGTTGGGAATAGCAAAAAGCCCCACACACAATACCAATATGCATACATATTTACATAAAAAATACAAATATGAAGGAAAACAACTGAATTCGAAAAAATATGAATTTTGGAAATAAGTAAATAAAATTAATTGCAAATAAATTGTGTTAAAATGATAGGAAAAATGGTCAATGTGTATAAGCAGCAACAGCAACAAAATATATAAACACAACATAAAGATAAATGGGAGGAAAAGGATACAGTAAAATGAATGTAAGCATAATCTAAGGAAAAATAATATTATTAATGAACAATTATTGGATGATTGCGATTTTAAAACAAAATAAAATATAACAGAAATACACAAAGAAAAATCGAAATTAAAGTTAAAAGAGAACTCTAGATATAAGCAATTAACAATTCTATGAAGTACATATATAAATGAATGATTTAAATTAATACATGAATCCATAAAAGAATTACCACAATAAAGCCATGAACATTGTTCAAGGAAATACATTTGACAAATAATTGTTTTTCTTTCTAAACGGCACTGCAGACTGAGGAGATTTCGTAAGTACAAGGATTCCAGAAATTATGCCAGTATATTACTAAAACTGATTCAATAGAATACCTCTGAGTTTTTGTGTTTGAATTCGGTTAATACTTTCAGCTTTAAGGCTCAAAGCTCAGTTATGCAAGACTTAGACTTGACTTGACTTGAAAACCCAAAAAAAAACTTCACTTAGAAACTTTGATTAGATTAGATTAGATTTTTGATTTCTATGTTGAATTTCTAAGTGCAACCAGAGCCGTGAGAGAATCATGCTGCCATTCAATTTTTCAATAAAATACCTACAAATATGCCACGGAAATATAGTTTTTTGTATAAATGTAACTTATCTGGCAATTGAAAAACAAACTTTTCAATAAATACAGAAAATTAAATAAAAACAATCACAATTTGATACGCGTAAATACATTTATTTTAAGCAGAATTCGGAGACGATTTCGAAATTTCTCGGGTGGCGTTTTGTAACTAAGGCTCTTCGACGTCGAACTTTCTTCTGAGCTTGAAACGCGCTATATAATAAAATAGTAACCGATCAGATCTAGCTACATTTACGGACTACTTTGCCCTTTATATTTAGTTCATATGCAACAATTTTATTTAACAAAATTTAACTAACCTACGGCAAGATAACAAAATGCTCGAAAATCATATACAATTACACATATTTAGTTTTTGTAGTGTTTTAACTCTCTATTTTCTCCGCTTTTCGGCTGAATGCTTTTCCCACCACTGCGCATACCAACGCGCACTTTGCTGCGCAGCTTCTTCCGGTTCAATTAACGGCACATAGTCCATATGTATAGAGGCGCGCAAACGATTAAAAAACAATACTGAAGCTGTGAAGGACCCAATTGCGCGAAGAGAATGTTTTAGTTTAAATTTCGTAACTGGGTAAAGCAGCTGTATGAAAAGCTCTGCGAGAAAGGACAAAATGAAGAAAAGAAAATGAGGCAGGTACCAAAAGGTCAAATTGACCTTGAACTGTCCACCCAATAGTGCCATTTTTTGTATAAATCTTGTCACATCATTAATGGGCGTGTCATCGGTAATGAATACTGGCAGTCCGGCAATAGCTTTTGGTGTTGCTTTAAGCGTTTTATATGCACACAGATGTCCCCAAGCCACATTACCTGTATTGTAGAGCCGAAAGAAAGTGATTTATAAAATTCTACATTATAAAAATACTGATTCAAAAGTGTTTTACCCGCATAGACTAGTTGTTGTTTGCCACCCGCTCCAGCGATGCGCGGATAGCTAAAGCCGCGACCAGACAAATACTCAAAAACTTGCGGCACGAATTTCATATCGCCCTCGCCATAAGTAAGAGGCGGACGTATGGCCACAGTTTCCAAATAGTCTGAAAAATATACAGATGTGCAATTTTATTTATGTACGTAAATATATAAATCGTTTCATGTGAATGAGAAAATTTAAATATGTACATATATATTTATATACTTATAGGTAATTAACATTCTATAAAATCTGCTAATATATGTATGTAATTCGTACCTTTTTGATTACTAAGTAGCGCTCCATTTGAATTTAAAACAATTGTTTCCCCCCGCAATTTCGACGAAGTGTATCCTGGTATCAAAAACGATTTGTCAAAATCTGTTGTGTCCTGCGCATTAAAAGTGGGCGTCAGAGCCTTCGACTCCGTTTGGTTGATAACAATTGTGAAAGTGCTGTATCCTTTGAAGGGGACCAGACAAACCGACGCGCAGCTGGTATACACCAGCCTTTTCACATTGTGCTGCACACATAAATCGACAATCGCACTGGTTCCATTCACATTAACGCGATCTAGCTCTGCGAAATCTGGCGGGTATTCAATACTGACAAGTGCAGCACAATGAAAAACACAGTTTACATCTTTGAAAGCGTCCTGCACCGCAATCGACTTTTGTTCACAAAAATCTCCAACGAAAATTTTTAGTTCCTCAGCTTGAGGTATATCTGCATAATGTACATATATATGGGTATAAAACATATCAATAAAATAAAAAAGTATCCTTGTTGCTTACCAATTTTGTTTTCAAAAGGCAACATATCCAGCGAACGTATTTCTTTGATTCCCAAGTTTGATCGCTCGCGTAAAAGGTGTTTGAGCAAATGTTGCCCTATGAAACCGCTTCCTCCAGTGACTAAAACCACTTCACCACCAGCACTGTCCAGACTCGTTGATGCCATATTCGCCAAATTTTCGTAGTACTGTAACAGTTCAATTTTTAGATTCAAATTTGCTAATCAGATATAAAAGTGCTGAAATGGAGTGAAAGTAATACAAGTATTAAGGTCATATTAGTATGGAGACGTGCAGGAAAATATGTAAATGTTTAGAATCTAAACCGGAAGTCGGCAATTCGACCAAAAGTCAGAGCATTCCCCGATTAAAAATATCTTCACTGATTTCAGAAGTCCGGGACCATTTTAAATTCGAGCGCCATTTAGAGGTTGAAAAAGACACTTTCGAGAAAAAAGTGACTTACTTTTATCCTCAGAAGCCGAATATGTAGCAAAATTATGTATATACAGTTGCGAGTGAAATAATAGCAGTAAAATTCAAAATTATGTTGCTGGCAACTTTTATTCATTATTTATTGTTGTATCAGAAACGGCATGAATAACAGTTTCAAAGCTTGCATAAAGTTCACAAAAATTTATTTAAATAACTTAGGAAATACTCATCAAAATTTCGATTTTTTAAATAAGTTTCCTTAGAGAGATATCTAGTATTATTTTTGTCGAGGTCGTGTGCATTTTCTTCCATACAACGCATGAACCTAATTTATTATTGTATGGAAGAGAATGCGCACACAACAAAGTCTCAAAAATTAAAAAAAAAAAAAAAAATTTTAATTATAATAAAGTTTAAAGGCCTACAAAATACTCGAAATTATATAAATATACTCGAAATTTTTCCAAGAAATCTAATTTAAAAAATCGAAATTTCGATGAACACTTTTTAAGTTTAATTAATTCACTTACGGTCGAATGCAGAAGTCGGTAATACCACCAAAAAAAAAGAGCATCCCCAATTTGGTAGGTCAAATTATTGCGTTTTTTCAATACAAAAAAAAAACATATATCCCCATTTTAGAGAGGGTACACTGGCGGTCTAGGACACCCTGTATATGCATATGTGCAGTTAGATTTTTGCTATATTTTTGTCATATTTTCGAAAACGTGAATTGTAACTCCTCATATCGCTGAAGACTCGTTTAATCAAGATTTTAAAAAGTGATAGCTTGCGATGAGAGCCTTTGAATCGATTAGCGAAAATCAAATTGTTTTCGAGTTTGGAAATGATATCCACATATCTTATGCATTTCTTTTGGAGATTTGAATATAAGGAGGAGTGTTTTATAAAGGAAAATGTGAATGATCAAAACTGGCCTTACAACTTTTCAAAATTATCTCCAGGGGCATTAGAACTAGCTTTATACTAGAGGTCTGCAGCCGCTCGATGTTTGCTAAGTAAACTTCTCGACTCGTACAACTTTTATGAGACCAGGATTAAGTTGGTTACAATGAATCTTTTCTGCCGTACGACGGCTTGATGGGGCCAGAGCTCAATTCGAGGAGGAGATTGTTGTTCTTAAAGAGCGCTAAACTCTCGTTTTAGAAATGTTCAGGTTTCTTATTTGGCATAACAACCATTTGTCAGTTTAGGCCGAGACCAAAAAGCTGCTCTAATTTCCTCTCTCCAGTTGCTCAGCCCCAGTGCAGACAGATCTTTCTGCACTAGGTCCTTCCTAGAGTTCATCATTCTATCTTCTCCTATACGCGAACAGTGCCGTAGATCTTGCGCAAGAATGATAGAATACAAGATTGCGCCGATCGGAGAGGATTTTTGAGAATAACTTTTGTGTGACGTCACACTGGTGCAATTGCGAGAGAGAAATGCCAAAACGTGAGCAAGAATGGAAGAAGAAGAAAAAATGTTGCAAGGAAAACGTAAACAAGTTGCACCAGTGTGACGTCATGCAAACAGCGATTCTGTCAAATTCGTTAAGAGAGGAATAGCGGTCCGAGATCGGCGCAACCTTTGTATTCTCTCAATCGTGGATCTTGCGTAGGTTAGTTCTATTGAAAGCGCATAAAGCCTTCTAATATTTGTTCGAAAAACGGGCATGACGAGCGACTTGAAGAGCGCAATTTTAGTTCGTCGAGAGGGGGTTCCACTTTACAAGTGCCTACCGAGCCCAAAATAGCACCTGTTGCAAGAGCTATACTTCGATTGATCTTCAGGCTGACGTTTTTGGTAGTGTTTATGCTGGATCCTAGGCAGAAACGCGTTGACTCTTTTTTATGTTTCCAGCAGGTACCTAGTCTAGTCTTCATTCGCCGCTAGATCAATCTCATCAGCTTGTTTTTCTAAACTGAAAAATGGTGCGGCTACGTCCCTTTCTTTCAAACCGACGACGTTTCGGTTCACATATATCCGTAATTTATCCAAGAGTGGCGGAGATCCACCCAAGCGGAAATCCACTTTACCCAGTAGTGATAAAGCACCAAGAAGTCGACCTTTGTTTTTAATATTTACAATGTTTTTCAAACTAAAATTTTTGTGTTATCTTTTTATAATAATATGGTTCATGCATTTACCAGAACCATATAAATTTAGCTTTTAAACTTTGTACAGAATTTAGAAATTCAGGTGATTAATTTTTGGGTATGCAGTAACAAGCTTGTGAAATTTTAGTAAAATAAGTGCAAGTTTTGAACGACGACAAAATCGCATTGGTTTGTATTTTTTTTTTTTTGTTCACGGCGTTTTGGACTTTTTCCATATCAACAAGAATTTCTTTTGGAAGAAAATGCGCAAGACTGTTTGTTATTAAACAAATCGCGGGAAAATTTTCCAATAATGGGCCAGGCTTTGAAAAAAAAAATGAGGGGGTTTAGAGCGGCTTTTTGTGATTCTAAATCTGAAACCCCCCCTCCTCCGAAGGCTTATTGTTTTTAAGTAATTCGTTGTTAAAGTTGTAAAAAAAGTGCAATTTAACCTCACATTTTCTTTTGTACATCGAGTGAACTGAAATTGCGGTGCTGCCACAAATCACAAAAAATGTGTAAAAAAAAGTACTGAAAAGGGAATCAACGAAAACGTAAATAATAAAGTGGACATGTACATATATGATATAGCTTTTTTATTGGATATTTTCACTATATATGGAAGAATTGATAAAAATTTTGAAAATTTTCAAGATATATGGAAGTATTGGATTTTTTAGAAAAAAGCGCCGCAGGTGAAAAATTGTAATAAAAAATCGCGCGATTTTTTATTAAAAATTTTCAAGATATATGGAAGTATTGGATTTTTTAGAAAAAAGCGCCGATTTAAAAGAAACTCTTAAATATATGTGCATAAATAAGACCGTAAAATTAATATTTTCCTTTTAGCCTTCAATCCCGTAATGCATCACAAAGTGATTAGTGCAGTGTTTATAAAAAAATAATTGTGAAGCAGTGGGGAAATTTTAACAACGAATAACTTAAAAACTATTAGCATTTGTACACAAAATGTTGAGGATATCGGTCATTGAGCACCTCCTCAACACCCCCTGCGAATTTCATTAAAAAATTCGTAATACTTTGGGTGATATAGGAAATGGTCCATTATAGGAAATCTCAGCCCAAATCGCTAAGATTGATAAAAAGATTGTTTAAATATCAGCGTGAATATTCTTCTGTTTATGTATATTCTTCTGTGCTTTATGAATAAAAACTAAGCAATTGTTTTTTTTTTAATTTCCGACCTTTTTTTAATTTATTTGAATAAATCGAGAAATTTACTAAATTTTTATTCATAAAGCCCATGGCAATTGCTTTGGATAAATTGTTTTATCAAAAGCACATATTTTTACCGCCCTCGAATGGCTACTCTTCAGCCGAAGTATTTTGGACGAAGAAAATGTTGGTATTTTTTTAAAGATATATAACTTGAAATCCAGTTTCGGTTACGCGATTGCTCTCAAAAAAACATTATAGCGAATCATTTTTCTTTAATATTTATTTAGACCTGCAAAATATTTGTATTGCAATGGATCGCCTGAAGTAGCAGCAACACTTTAGTGAGTCATCCTAATGTTGTTATTTACATAAGCGCGTTAATAGTAACTAATAAAAACTTATTGGAAAATATTTTTGTTTTAGGTATAAACTTTACTTCCTAACCATTAGTGCTACATATATATGTAAGTACAAAAGATAAACATATGTACATACGTACTTTCATCCTTACTTTTATTTTATATGCACTTGAAATACATTCTAGACTTTTTGAAAAACTAAGGTCACATTCAACAACTCACAGGTAAGCTTTTAAATTTACCAAATCGTTTTCCGGCAAATATCATTGCTTGACGCTGTGCTCTATAGGTTTTCACGTAAAATTTTTTTTTATCAAAACTTGCTTTATTCGCCTCATAATATGTGTCGTCATATAGCCAAACTAACTTGGCCAGGGCCAAAAGTTTCAAAAGGCCGAAAGTGCATATAAACAAAATTCGTAAAATACACTCATTGCGCATACGTACGTACACATGCATTAAATTTCGCGGCTTTAGAAATACCAATATAGGTATGTATGTATGTATATATCTATGTACATAAATCCATCCATTTGTATGGATTGTTTGATGAAAATCACACTAAAACTGGTTTTTCTCACGTAGTCGAAAAAATTAATGACGCTGAATTGTTGCCTTTATTGTTACTTACTTAGTAATGAAATACACTAAGGGCTCATTATTAGCAAGTACATCTGATGTAATCACTCATTAAATCTGCTTGTTGCTATGAAGTAACACCTCAAATATCCATATTGTATATTCGTATACATATAGATATTAACTTAAAATATTTACATGTACTAAGTTAATTCGTACCTTTAAAACAGTCTTGATTTCTTCGTAGATTTTTTTTACTATTCCGCACGTTTGAGCTGCTTGAGTGGTTGTCTTCAACTGAACGGCAAAGCGCTGGAATTCAACGTCTAAGCTTGGCTATAAACAGAGAATAGGTCGGCCAGCTGACNTATCCATATTGTATATTCGTATACATATAGATATTAACTTAAAATATTTAAATTTACCTACTAAGTTAATTCGTACCTTTAAAACAGTCTTGATTTCTTCGTAGATTTTTTTACTATTCCGCACGTTTGAGCTGCTTGAGTGGTTGTCTTCAACTGAACGGCAAAGCGCAGGAATTCAACGTCTAAGCTTGGCTATAAACAGAGAATAGGTCGGCCAGCTGATTGCGTGTTGTTGTGTGACTACTTAGCTATTCTGGGTTATAGCCATGGCCCAGAGTGCTCGATAATAAATGTCGCGCTCAATCCATACTCTTTGTATTTAAATGAGCTGTTGATCTGGAGCAGCCAAAACCATTAAAATCTAAAAAGTGCTTGGCTCGCACGCTTATGTTGCTCTTGCTTCATTTGAAGAGAGATCAACTTGGCCGCATCCGTGTAAAGCTATCAAATGTTATCAATGTACAACGAACGCTTCATTGTCGCTTGCACTTTGAGAAATCCATGCTGCTTGTTTCATAATATTCATCCAAACAAATAATACTCTCCGACAGCATGGTGTATTTCTGAAAGTGGATACTGTGTTGGTAGCACTAGTCGACAAGAAGTTCGACCTGTGACAATTCGACCCGGAGACATTCTTAGGCAAACAATTAAACGAAATACATCGCTAGGTTAGTGTGAAAAGTGGCACAAAAGTCCACATTTACAAATTTCACAGGAGAGGCAAGAAATTTCGTACATATAGCCATTTTCTTCAAGTGTTTCGTAACACTTTGAATGCAATCCGATTTCAGTGCCTGATTGACGTAGCCAATTTGGCTTTCATCGAATATAAATGAGGGAAAATAAAATACGGACCTTAAACCTTTTCGAAAGGATGCATATTAATATCTCTTGCTTGTAATATAACAAAAAAATAATAATTAGTTTATATATTATAGTAGTTTATAAAAATGCAAGATTAAGGTTTTTAACAACTAAGAAATATATCAGTTGATCCCAAAAGATTCCGAATTTTAAAAGTCTTATTCCATTTTAGGCATTTATTTCTGACTAGGGTTGCCAGATTTTTATGCGTTTTTATTCAAAGCAAAATTATTATATGTTACTAACATTCATGTATATGTAAATAAAACTTAGTTCAAAAAAATATAGGTGTTATTCATTTTAACATAAGTGTACACATCAGTGTACACAGAAGCCAATAAATTATTTTATATATATATATAACATTTTTGAATAGCAATAATAAGATCATTTCCATCTTCAGGGTTTAAATAGTCAAAGAATTATATACATTTCGTTTTAATATTACTTTTAATATGCAGTTCACTTTAAAAAATTTTAATTAGAGGCCGGTTTCTCTCTTTGCGACAGGAAGCAAACTTTATGCTTAAGATCCTCTCAGGTTGCTTCGTTTGAGTGTATTATTGAAAAACCACTATTTAAGGACTTCATCTATATTTCCTCATGGCTAAAATTAATTTTTTCAACTGCGCAAAATCTTTGAAAGACTAGGAATTCGCTAAAAACCGTATCTATCTCTATGTATGTCTTGTATGCAAAACTCTCTACAATGTCAGTAAATAGTGAAAAAAAGAATTGTAAGTTATAGGCGAACGCCCATTCGAATATTAAAATTTTGTGTTATTAAATTGAAAGTTATTTATTATAATAACCAGCAACACTCTACCAAAAAAGTCAGCCTTCTTTTTAAATAATTTAAGTTCCATCATGTAATCGCAACTGGTACGTAACGACCCAGCGATACGCCAAAAAAACGATTGATCTTTTTATTGTATTAATTTCTTGGGCACATAAAACATTATCGAAAAAATAATAAATAAAATAAAAAACCACGCTTTTACAAATGGACTAAAAAGAAGAAAATTATATTTATAAGTTCCATAGAATTTGTTTTGATAACTTTAGATTTAAAAATTTTAGCAAAAGTCAATCTAAATTATTTATGAGATTGAAAACGTAAAACGTGGAGCGCGTGCAATACAAAGAATTAGATTTAATTGAAAATAGTCAAACTGCATAACTTAGACCTAAAATTTCTACAGCGCAAGTACAAAATTTGAGATCGATTTTAAGCAATCGTTATTCATATATCCACATACATACATATTTTAGCCTTCATATCCACTCAGGTCTATAAATAAGATTATTATAAACCTTCGGAAAATGAGCGCAGCCCGCCCACTTATTATTACATGTGTATAAATATTTTTTGATTTTGAAATAAAAACAAGTAAGAAAGTCAAAGTTCGGGCGGAGCCGAACATTAAATACCCGGCGCAAGTATTAAATATATGTTTTTTCACCCTTCCGAAACCTTCCGCTAGATGGTAAGCCGAGGTGTATCAATTTTGAGTAAATTAGCGTCCTTCAATTTCGAAATATTGAAGTTTCAAGCATTTCTTAAATTTACCGTTATATGAGAATCGGCCGTTATTTTAGTCCGATTTCAATAATTTTCAACGTTTTGCTTACACGTGGCAAGTACAATAACCATACCGAGTTTGGTACAAATTGGTAGAACGGTTACCGATATACTTATATGTGATCATAAGTGGGCGGTGCCACGCCCATTTTCCAAAATTTTACCATAAACGTATTTCTTGGTAAAGAATTGTTGCAAGCATCAATTTTGAATAAATTAGCTTCAATATTTAATGATTTATCGAAGATTTTGTATTTCCCTAAATTACCGTTATATGGGATGTGGGCGTGGTTATTGTCCGATTTTAAAAAGTTTCGGCGGTTTTTTATGCTGTACCAAGGCCAACAACTGTGCCAAGTTTGGAAGAAATTGGTGCAGCGGTTACCAAGATATACACATGTAACCATAAGTGGGCGTGGCTACGCCCATTTTCCAAAAATTTATAATATTCTTATTTTTCGTCTAAAAATTATTGTAAATATCAATTTTGAGTGAATTATCTTCAGTAGTTACTAAAATATCGCAGTTTTCGTATTTCTGGAAATTACCGTTATATGGGAAGTGGGCGTGGTTAAAGTCCGATTTCGCCCATTTTCAATACCAACCTACCTTGGATTAAGGGAAACCTACATACCAAATTTCGTTGAGATATCTCAATTTTTGCTCGAGTTATCGTGTACACGGACAGACGGACAGACGGACAGACGGACGGACAGACAGACATGGCTTAATCGATTTCTTTTTTCATCCTGATCATTTATGTATACATTTGTCTATATCTATCTCGATTCGTTTTGGCTGTTACAAACAACCGTTATGTGAACAAAATTAATATACCCTTGTGCACAAGTGCGCTCGGGTATAAAAAGCAGAGGTATATTTTTGTCGATATAAAACAATACTGCGAGTTCAGAGCATCAAAATTCGGACTGCACTTTTTTCACATGCATTTTTGAACCACCCTAATATACAAACTAGAGATGGGCACGGGACTAAATATTTAATCCCGACCCCGCTCATCCCGAAATTCGATTTTTAAGTCCCGAACCCGCCCATCGCAACATTTTTCAGAATTGTACCGCGGGTCCCGTGGGTCCCGATATCTACCTCTAAAGCAGGCTACACACGGACAACAAATTAAAACGAGCGGTTGAGATTTCATCGTATGTGGCGAGGTTTACAAACCGATCGAAGGTTCACAAAAATGTTCATGTCTTTCATATTAATTTTAAATAATAATGAAAGATCTGGCATCTTCCTATAATTTTTTTTTCTTTTTCTTCTCAAAAAAACATTAAAAGTGCATATTTCAAACATCGTTTTTAAGGAAGATTTTGTGAATTTGCGGGTGTTGCGGTTTTATTGGGAGTGTCGGGAAAGGATTTTGGTCCCGTCGCGCCCGCCATATTTTTACAGATCTTCCCGATACCGCCCATCCCGGTCAATTTTAAATCAGTACCGTGGGTCCTTTGGTGTATGACTGTGCAAACGAAGTGGCAACGGTGAAGCCTAACGGGGCGGATCATAACTCCTTTGCCAACCAGAAGTCAAGTTTTAATTGCGGATTAATAGCTCTGATCTAATATGTTTCGTGTACAATCCTGTAAAAATGCCAAACAGCAAAATTACTCTCTGAAGTGAGAGAAAATGGTGAGTAACAACAAAAAGTACGTGAACAAAAAAGCCTGTTTCCTGTAAAAAAGTCAAGCAGTATCGTTTGACACCTTTCATGATTTTACCAGAAGAAAAAGATCGGGTAAAATCTTGCAACTTCATTCTCTACATAACTCTCCAAAAATTGCTCTCATTTACAGGATTTTGGAGGAATTTGGAGTACGGGATCATTTTTCCTGTAACTTCCTGCAAGTTCGTGGAAAAACCTGTAAGTTCGTGGAGTACTGGAACAGAGCTAATGTGTCGGGATGAGGATCGAAAATGCCTGCATGTCGATCCAACTGTACACATGCTAGCCTCCTCCTGAACGTCGAATCAAAATCGACGAAATATTTCTTTCTGCGTCATCCGCAAAAGTGACTGCATAGGCTATGATGATTGACATATGTACATTTCGACGAAGGTAAATGATCGTTGTCCAATAGACAAAGAGACATTCACGTTAGCTATCTATCGAAGGCCATTGACGAATCGAAAAGCGACCCAGAATTCGAGAAAGTGCACGTAAAAGGTGGTTTTGTAAGGATGCAATGGTCAAATGAGTTTTTCCGAGAGCGGCTGGCCAACGGTAGTGGATGTGTCGGCCTGCAAATTACTTTGGAACTTCTTAGAATTAGATGCGGTTTCGTTCTTGACCGGATTTTCACTCCGGCGGCATTCCCAAAACTCTTTTCGAAATCTGTATGCTGTTCCAACAACAAAAACAAAGGGAGTGTTTTCTGATGTTGAGAGGATACCTGGCAATGCTATCTTTACTCTACCGACGACATGGGTTAGATGAAGCAAACGCAAGATGGATCTTCACGTTATCTGGAAGATAGCCTAAACTCTTC